TGGCCGGGCCCAGCCACTGCACTCCAGTCTGGGCGACAGTGAGACTCCAACTCAAAAAAATAAATAAATAAAATAAAAATCTAGTCTACTTTATTTTTTTTTCCTCTTTTTGGGTTGGACTCTCATTCTGTCACCCAGGCTGGAGTGCAGTGGCACACTCATGGCCACCACAGCCTCAACCTGTGACCTGCTGTGCTCAGGCGATCCTTCCACCTCAGCCTTCCAAGTAACTGGAACTACAGGCATGCACCACCATACTCAGATAATTTTTTAATTTACTGTAGGGATGAGGTCTCACCAAGTTGCCCAGGCTGGTCTTGAATCCATGGACTCAGGCAATATTCTCACCTCAGTTTCCCAAAGTGCCAGGATTATAGGCATGAGCCACCGTGCCCGGCCCGTCTACTTTGAATGGGCAGCATGGTTGGTTCCATGTTTTTGCTATTGTGAATAATGCTGCAATAAACATGTGTGAGGATATGGTATCTAAAATATATTTTAAAATTCTACAACTCAGAAATAAGATCGCCCCCCCCTCTTTTTTTGAGTCAGAGTCTCACTCTGTTGCCCAGGCTAGAGTACAATAGCACACTCACAGCCACCACAGCCTGAACCTGCTGGGCTCAGGCGATTTTTCTCCTTCAGCCTTCCAAAAAGCTGGAACCACAGGTGCACACCACCACACATGGCTAATATATATATATATTTTAAGTGAGATAGCACGATTTATTGAGAGAATAGAAAAGCTCCCACAGTGGGAGGGGACCAGAAGGTTTTTTGATTTATTGTAGAGACAAGGTCTCGTCAAGTTGCCTAGGCTGGTCTTGAACTCATGGGCTCAGGCAATCCTCTCGCCTCTGCCTCCCAAAGTGCTGGGATTACAGGCGTGAGCCACTGCACCCCACAATAGTCCAATTTTTTAAATGGGAAAATTATTTGAATAGACAGTTCTCCAGGGATAGTTATGAATGGCCAATAAGCATATGAAAAGATGGTCAACAACATCAGTCATCAGGGAAATACAAATAAAACCACTATAACATGTCATCTCACATGCACTAGGATGACTATAATCAAAGGCATATGCATCAGCTGGGCATGGTGGCTCAGGCCTGTAATTCCAG